ATGCCATGCTTCTCTTCATCAGAGTCAATGATTGTACTCTGGTCATTTGAATAACACAAATTCCCAATTTATGAGATTAATTGTAATTCTTGATCTCCATCACTAATGGGATCCAGTAGGCCACTTACACCTGTTGGCGTAGGGTAGACATATGCTAAGCCAATCAGTGTAGCATGCATGAAACCCGGGACATCTAAGGGCATTACAAGCCTGTTATTGCTTCATCTCAGGTGACTGAGCATCATTTGTCCCCCTAAGAAGTTGGGTTCTGACCATTCAGGGGTTGCATACTTAATTAGCCAACCAGACCGTTGCTTGTTATTGGAGTTAACCAGACAAATCACTCTACCAACCAAGAATAGCTGTGTGCCACCGATATTTATGAATACCATGAGAGTCTCCATATGAGGGTATGATAATGAAGAGCAGAAGTGAGGATTCTGGGCTCTGAAGCTGAATCCAGGCTACTTAAGGTCGAATCCTGGTCTCCTGGGCTCTGCAGATGGTTGTTCCGTCTTGCCTATGACATCATGCTTTGGTGATTTCCCAGTTATTCTATAAAGTTTTCTCTGTTCTGAAAGATTGAAATGCCTTTAATTACTGTAGTAGGAGCTCTAAGCTAAAATATTCTGGTACTGGTGTTATTTTCCCTTTGGCCCTACCCACCATGAAGGTGGTCTTCCACAGGACGTCTCTGGTACTGAATCTGACCCTTGAGCTGAAAGAGGCTCCCCATTCTTGATGCCCTTTTTTCTGTCAGAATTCAGCCAATGAGAATACAGTAAGATATTATAAAAGCTAGGAAATACATGGCTGCTTCTCCATCCGCTTCATGTTAGCTATCCTTTGAGCATGACACAAAACTAAGACTTTACGTTTTGTAGATTTAGAGAAATGATCCTATTTATGCTTTGGTGTTTTTTCTTCCTTCCCTTTTTACTGCTTTCTTTCCCCTTTCTCTCCAGTGGGGTACCAAACCCCATGGTACTGGGAACTCAGCCTTTGGCACTTGCCCTTTCTCAGTGCCAGTTGAGCATTCATTTGTGATACTTGATCTCAGAAAATCTAATTATCAACTCTCTTTTCGGACTGCATGTGTCTTCATCCTCAAGATGGCGATGCACTGACTACGGTATCTGCAAGAAAGTGCTTAAAACGGATCACCTTTTGGTGGAAGGTAGAGCATTGCCCTCTAGTGACAAACAATGGTTCTTACAGAATCGCCTTTCTAAATGGATGATCGAGCAATTCAGCTCCCCAAGGAGCAGGAGTCTTTGGCCTACCTGAGTAAAAGCAAGTGGAACTCTGTACAGTACTTTGATATGGCATAAAGTTAGGCCTGCTTTCCTCTTTGCCTTTCCCAAGCTGCTGGACAGCCTCCTATTAGACAGAGTAGGAATGAAATCTCTGCAGATCATGTGGAATTGTGTGCGCTTGTGCTTATATTCCAGGGGTGGGGAACCTTTGGCCTTCTAGATATTTTGATCTACAACTCCCATCAGTCCCACCCAGCATAGCCCGTAGAAAGTGATGGTGGAATTTGTAGTCCAGAAGATCACTGAGGGTAGAAGTATCTCACTTGTAAGATATGGCATAATAAGATGGGATCAAATCTGACTGGGTTAAAAAGGAAATGATATTGCCTCATATAGACTGATGGAGTTGCTTCAGGTATAGCAGGGTCAGTGCTGAAAAGTTACCATTTCTTCATTCTGGCTTGAGTTCTGGTGGATTTGTCAGATCCTTTTCTTAAATGTATGCACCATTTTTGTTTAAATAAGTAACAGGATTTGAAAAGTGGGGCAGGAATGGGGTAGGCCTCTAGCCGCCTAGAGTGGTCGTAATTGACCAGATAGGCGAGATATAAATATAATTAATTAATTAATTAATATTTGAGCTACATGGAACTCTCTTTTGCTATGACCGCTGTCTAGTCAATGAGAAAATAGGCCAAATTTATTTTTATTTTTTTGCTTGTCCTTCTGATCCTTGACTGCTATGACTGCTGTCTAGTCAATGAGAAAATGGGCCAAATTTATTTTTATTTTATTTTTTTTGCTTGTCCTTCTGATCCTTGACTTAAAGATTGCCCATCAAGAACTCAAGAGTTCCAGAGGATTTTTAAGATAGCATTTTGAGACCTTTGAGCCAAACCATGTGGGCCTCTCTAGAGATGCTGAGTGGTATTCACAGGTCTGGCTTGGCTACTTAAGTGAATTGAAATGTTATAGTTTCAGTGATAAGTGTTCACATTAAACATTACATTAAATTCTGTGGCTGCCTTCTGATTTCTAGAACTACCTCAGAGACAATGATTCCCTTCAGCTAGCCTTAATGTCATATTTGTGTTCAAGCCAAGGAAGTTACACCTACGACCTTAGTTTAAGGTTGTAAATGTACCCCTCTTGCAAATGGTGGGTAACACTATTGGTCCTCCTAAACATGATGCGGCTAGCGGCCTTAATATGTCTTAATCCTGTCCTGACTAGCTTTCAGTGCCTCTGCTGATTTTGTACATCTTACTTTCTTCTGGGGTGTCATGTATTAAAGGAAAAATACAACCATTTTCCCTTTTTGGCTTTTCTTCCCTTTATTTGCAGACAAATATCGGATCCATCTTGGTGTCTGTGAATCCATACAAGCCCATTGCTGGTTTGTATGATGAGGCTGCCATTAATCTGTACCGACAGCACTGCTTGGGCGAGTTGCCTCCCCACATTTTTGCCACTGCCAGTGAGTGCTATAGTTGCTTGTGGAGGCGCCATGACAGCCAATGTATTCTCATCAGGTAAGGGAAGGAGGGTGTCTTCCACAGCAAGCTCCTCCCCAACCCTCACACCCCCTCTGCAAATAGCCGCATGCATGGCATCAGGGCTGTTCTCTCAAACCCACCATTCAGACTGTTGTTGTTCCCTGTGGCTGGTCTTGTCCTGAGCAGATTGTATGGGCTTTCCTTTAAACAGTGGAGAAAGTGGAGCCGGAAAGACCGAGAGCACCAAGTTGCTGTTGAAGTTTCTCTCAGCCATGAGCCAAACTTCACTGGGTGGCCCTGCATCAGAGAAGAGCACACATGTAGAAGAGGCCATCATGGAGAGCAGGTACATGTCACATTTTACAGATGATTCATGTTGCATTGGTCAGAGCTCGGTAAATTGGCCAGAATCCTATTGGTGTTCATGTGAGATCTGAATAAGTTGCTGTGACTAATGGTGACTAATTGGTGAGGTGTTGGGGTGCATCTCAGTTGTGCAATCAGTAACATGATCAGCCACACACTTGAGATACCCCCAACACCTCATAATTTAGCTTCTATTAGCCATGGCCATTTACACAGCTCTTATGCAAACATCAGTGGGATCCTGGCCATCACTGTTGTTTTTTTTTTACTATAAGTCTAATAATTCCCCAGCCAGCATGACCATGGCTGTGCTGGCTGAGGCATTTTAGGAACTGTAGTCTAAAAAAGTAACATTTCCAAGCTCAGGGACAGATGATGCCACTTGTCAGGTAAGCTGCAGCATCTGCAGGTGACTGGCTTTATTTGTAGCTTTCTGTCCTTCCACCTGGACCCTGTACTCTGTGAAAAGTGTTGTAGAGAAGGGCAGGATCCTTTTCCTCTTGCTGTATTACCTCACTCAGCAAGGGAAACCTGTCTGCATAGCTTCTTTAAGCCTCACTGGCTGCCTGCAGGTACCCTTTCATCTGCCGGGAGAGGAAGTGTCGAAATATCAGGTTAGAAGCACTAAAAGGAGAACTGTTTGGGCATGCCCCCGAAGATCAAGTCTCTGTGTCCAAAGCCAGGATTTTAGGCTTTTAGAATTACATATACAGTTAGCAACTAATACTGAGTGTTCCCATGCCTCATTTTCTCAGGTGCTCTCCATGTATAAGTGGGGCAGAAATCTCTGCTAAGGAACAGGTGGATTGTACTAAATTATGCAAATTAGAAACATTTGCTTATATTTGTTTAATCTTGCTTCTACAGGTCATAGGGAAGAGGAAGAAATAGCTAAGCTTCTGACTGACCAGGCATTATTTATACATGTTCAAGTTCCTCGGGTCTTTCCTTATATAACCTTAATAACTTTTGTTTGTATTTCTTAGAAGAGAGGTCCAGTTTTCATCATCTGAATGGTTCCCTCAATAAGGAATTCCAGTGTCATGCAGAATGACAAAGTGCACATAAAATTACCCTAAAGTACATACCAAACATATCTGCCAATTCACTTTTCTTCTTTCCTTCGTAGCCCAATCCTGGAAGCCTTTGGAAACGCCAAGACCGTCTATAACAACAATTCAAGTCGCTTTGGCAAATTCATCCAGTTGCATTTTTCCCGGCATGGCCATATCCAAGGAGGGAGAGTCACTGACTGTATCCTTCTCATTTGGCAATTTCACCACAGTTCTCATAGCATGGCCCAAGTAACAACTGCATTAAGGAAGGAGAGAAGCCACAGCATTGTGGGTGTCCACAGCAAATGTTGTCATGAGCATCCATGTCACACAAGGCAGCTCCTCATCTTCCATCCCATTCTGACTGAGGTTTCTGTTACAACAAAGTGCTGTTCTCTTATATCTAAACTAGAGAAGAACCACAAAGTTATGATTCCCCCCCCCTGAACAAACCATGAATCAAGTTGTCAATTCAGTGGGGGAGTTCTTTTTAAGATGGCCCTGTGCCAGCTGCGCATAACCCCGCTTACCAGATGAGAGGCGGGGACGTGCACAGACGGCTCCAGCCAAGGAAGAGGAGGCAGTGGCAGGAAAAGGTAGGGAGGCAACAGGGGTAGTGGGAAGGGGACGGGGCAGTGGGAAGAGGGCAGAGGCAGGCTGTGGGGGGGGCAATGAACTAGGAGGTTTATAAATCACCGAAACATTTGTTGGCTTGGGAAAGTTCGGGTTCTCCAGTTTTGATCATCCAAACCAACAAATTAGCAATTTTTGATGAAATTCCTGATTTGTTTTTAGCTTTGTACCCATCTCTAGTCTAAACCTTTAGAATCCAAGAGTGAGTCCACCCATAATAACATGGGGGAGCTCTTGGGAGTTGAATCCATTTCTATGTCAAAATCAAAAAATCTGTTCATGATGTGAAGTGTCTGTTTAGGGGTTGCCTTAATATTGGTGTTCTCCATAACTTGCTATTCAGATTTATTGGAGAAGGTGAGTAAAATTGTGGTCTCCCAGATCTCCCACTTCGATTTGTGGTCTGTAGTAGTCTGTGGCCAGATGAGGGGTGTGCACCAAGGATCCTGCTAAGGCATGTGCGACTCTGCCTCCCTCTGTGCAGCTTTCCTCCTCCTTTGTGCAGCCCCTTTGGTTCCAGCCACAACAGAACCCCGTGTGCCCACATGCATGTGGGGGAGAAGTTGCAAGAGAGAGGGGCTGAGCCCTGCCCAACGGGGCTAAAAATTAGGATACGTTGGTGTGCGCTAATACAGTCTGCCAGTGTGTACAGTTGAAATGGAGGTGATGTATATTCGCGAATGGAAGTGATGTATATTCGGAAGTGATGTAGTCAGCAAAGGGTGGTGATTGTCGTAGTTTTGGTATTAGAAGGCACTCTGCTTATCTGGAATGGCAGCTGTGTCCACACCAAGTACTCTGTGTCTCTTTGGGTTTTTAAATATGTTCCTGTAACACTTTGACAGCTCAAAAATAATCCTGTGTTTCTTACAATGTGCATGCTTTTAGTCCCAGAATCATATTACCTCGGTGAATGTGGAGCATTTTTCTTTATCCATTAATAAATGCTCAGTTTTGTGCCATTGCGCCTGTACACTAATGTGAACAGCAGTTGAAATGTGTTTTATATAGTACTGAGAGAGGAGGAAGGAAGGCTGCTTTCTGAGAACATGGACTGGCTAGCTTCTCAAGATCCGAAGTAGCCATTTCTTTGTTTCTAAGGCAGAAAGAAGGCAACACAGTGTCTTGTTGAATGGTCAATCCGTTGGAGGAGTTATGGTCTGCCACATCTGGGGAGAGCTATTTGGGGGAAAACCTGATTAAATGGCAGAAAAATGCAGTGAAGAAAATCTTCATTCCTCACCAGTTACTCAATTACCCTTTTGTTTATTTGTTTGTTTTATTTTGCTTTATTTTATTGTTTATTATACTGCCCATCTGGCAATCCAGGCCACTCTAGGTGGTTTACACAGTACAATAATACAATACAATGCAAAGCAAAACAATACAATAAAATGGAACAATAAGACAGAAATAATCAACCCTTTTGGACTACAATGCACAGAACTCCTCAGCCAGCATGGCAGTTGACTGGGGGATTCCAGGAATTATAATATAAATAACTTTTATAAATTTTTGCCCAAGCAGTATTTCCAGCAAACACAAAACTTCTTGAAATGTGAAGTCCTGGGGGCTTCATGGCCTACTAGCTTGTGAGTTGGTTTGACATCATCTGCTTGCCATTCTTCTTTGTTTTCAGAACAGAGTTGTTCACCAGAACCCAGGAGAACGCAATTACCATATCTTCTATGCTCTATTAGCCGGTGTCAGTGGGGAGCAAAAAGGTAAAAGGATCTGGAAAGTCATTCCTTTCTGTTCATTGAGGATAGCCAGCTTCGCTTTGTACTAGTAAGCTTGCCTTGCAAAAAGTATAATTCAGAAAGTAGGGCTAATTTTTCAGAATGTAGAGGGACAAAGATGTACACGTTCATGGCGATGTTGGGGAGCCTGTGACCTGCCAAATGTAGCTGGATTTCAGCTTCCATCATTCCTAGCTAGCATGACCAGTTGCTAGGAATGATAGCAAATGTAGAATGCCTTTGCCGATAGTTCAGTGAGCTCAGAATTCTAGTTTGAAATGGCCATTGCTTTTATGGTTTTATGCAAGGTTTAGAACTGATTTCGGAAGGCATATTTCAATCATCTGTTGCATTTGCTACACCTTATAGAGAACCTGGGTGACCTGGTTTACTTGTCTCAGAGTCTTTGTTTGGGTCCTACTCATTCATCTTGCAGGAGACAGCTTTGTTGGCCTTGAAATGGTGACCCATTTTCAGAGAACTACCCCCTTGGACGTGGTGGCGCTGCGGGCTAAACCGCAGAAGCCTGTGCTGCAGGGTCAGAAGACCAAGCAGTCATAAGATCGAATCCACGTGACGGAGTGAGCGCCCGTCGCTTGTCCCAGCTCCCGCCAACCTAGCGGTTCGAAAGCATGCAAATGCAAGTAGATAAATAGGGACCACTTCGGTGGGAAGGTAACAGCGTTCCGTGTCTAAGTCGCACTGGCCATGTGATCACGGAATATTGTCTACGGACAAAAGCTGGCTTTGTGGCTTGGAAACGGGGATGAGCACCGCCCCCTAGAGTCGAACATGACTGGACAAAAATTGTCAAGGGGAACCTTTACCTTTACCTTTTACCCCCTTGGACAGGACTTAGAGACCAGTTTTTTAATGACTTCTCAGAGCACTGTACTTCTTTTTTTTAAAATAAATTTGTTTGCTTACATAAGTCTGGTCTAAAATTTCCCTGACTGAGCATGGTTTACAGTTTGCTATCTGTGCCTGCCCACATTCCCCACAAGTCCTGCATGGACAGGACCAGTTTTTTAATGACTTCTCAGAGCAGTGTACTTCTTTTTTTAAAAAAAAATAAATTTGTTTGCTTACATAAGTCTGGTCTAAAATTTCCCTGACTGAGCATGGTTTACAGTTTGCTATCTGTGCCTGCCCACATTCCCCACAAGTCCTGCATGTTTTCCCTGTCAACCTTTTCTTCCTTGGAGGAACGGAATTGATTGCCATGTTTTTTCAGGTATATCTGATCATCCACTTTCCCTCTACTGAGCTAACTAGTGTTCTGTTTAAAGTGACCCATCTTTTCTTCACAATGCTTGTTCAGATAAGTGCATTTCTAGGGCACATCAAATTAGCAGCAGCTGTTTTACTCATTACATGCCACATTAAGCATAGTCATAAGTTCATTTAAAAAAACCCCACCACACACATTAGAAACAGAACAGTATTAGAACTGTTTGTGAACATGCATGAAGGCTTTTAAGTAACCCCAAAAGGCAGCCTTATGAGATGTTCACTCTTTCCCATGCCAGCTTCTGCTTGGACTGGATTTTATGGAACGACTTTTATTTCTGATACGGGAAACATAGGGAAAGAGGCGAAAAGTGTTACTGGTGATGGAAGGACCGAGATGACCTGGTTAACAAATGCAGGCAACAACCACAATTGGTTGAGCAACAAACTTCTATGCATGCAAGCAAGAGGACTGCAATATCCCTCTTGCACCTCCCACCCTAAACCCTAAAAGCTTTTCAGTACCTGCCAGATAGTATCAAAAATCATGGATTCACCACAAGTGTTCAGTTAGATTTATGCCACAACTTTTATCAAGACCCCAGCAAACCTGGTCCAGAGTGCTTAGATGATGAACTAGAAGTGTCTCATCTTAGGTTTAGTGAATGAAGTCTCCTCACTAGCATTCTCTTAGTGGATGGGTGGCTTGACTGACTGACTCATTGATTGATTATTTTTATTTGTCACCTTTCCTTTGAGAAACTCAGCCCATAATACTCTCTGGTCTATCGCTTCCGTGTTGTTAGTGCTTAATGGTATCAAATGGCCTGACAATGATTCCAATTAGCTTTCCTGAAAGTTACAGCCCATAATACTCTCTGGTCTATCGCTTCTGTGTTGTTAGTGCTTAATGGTATCGAATGGCCTGAGAATGATTCCAATTAGCTTTCCTGAAAGTTACTGAAGATCCCAATTGCTTTGAGTCTTCTGTTGCTTGAAGACAATTGGTGATTTTTCATGTACTGGTTTAAACATATGGTACAATATCTCACATATTGGCAGACATTGCAGAGCGTAATGATCCATTGACGAGATGAACTACAGAGATCAGGCGCTCCCCCTTTGTACCCCCAAACCATTAGCAAATAGCAGGGGGGTAACAGTGGTGGTCAGGAATGAACTTATGAATAGAACATACCCTGTCTCCACACATTTCTCTCAAAAGAGATTGAGTATTATTACTAAACCTTTTTGGGAGAGAGAAAAAATTACCCAGGGTGGTGTAGTGGACAGAGTGACTGACTAAGACTCCAGAGGCCCAAGTTTGAATCTCCACCCAGCTATAGAAACTCACTAGAGATGTGGAACAAATAAATCCACTCCTTCACCTTGTTAGGGTTGCTATAAGTTGGTTCTAACTTGACAGCACATAACATTCTTGTTCCTAGAAAGCTCCATGAATCATAATTATCTTTTAAATAAATTGCAGTCTCTTCCCATTTGACACAAAAAATTCAATTTCTCAAAGCCAGGAATGGATTTTCCAGCCATTTTTTGTGTCATTCTTCTCATTCTTCTCCGTGTGACTCTCAAGAGGATCCTTAATGCAGAAAATGGCCACAGAATGTGCCAGCGGTGCTTGCCCCAGAATTCACTCCAGATATCAGAGCAATGCAGCACTGCTTTCCTCTCATTCATTTTGCCTTGGAGAAGGGGGAATTGTGGTGGTAGACAGGAAGACTGCCACCAGAACAATTTTGTCCAATTACAGCTGTTTAGAAGTCTCCTGTAGTTAGGCGCCTGGGGAGTTTGGTGCCTAGATGCCAGAATTTTAGGAAGTCTTCTGAACTTGGGAACCGAACTAAACATTTTGCAATGAAAATCCATTTCCAAAGAACATGTAGAAGACCATAAGTTGACTGTCTTGCCTAAACCCTTTCCCTCCTTGCCGTTGTTCAGTTCCAAGTCACCTAAGCCAAAGCTGCTTTCCCCACTCCCTGAGTTAAGTACCTTCGTCCCTATTCATTGGAACTAATAGCCCTACTGTTCATTGTAAAGAAATACTGTACTAAATGTATTTGCCAGCAGAAGGTCTATTGCTTGGTAGGTAAAATCTTGCTGAGATTCGCCTTAGCCTTAGGGCAAGGGTGGGCAAAGTATTCCTGGACTGGGTATTCCCATCAAACCTAGCCAGCATAACTGAGGGTGAGGAATGCAGGGAGCTGCTGTACCTCAGTGTGGGTGTGGGTGTGCACTTTGCTTGACCCTGGCATTGGTTTTGGACAAGTTTCCACAACAAAGAAAGCAGTTACTGGTCTAGCGCTGGCCTCATGGGGCTTCTTCTACCGTGCAATGTCCTGTTTTTCATGCCTTAGGCCTTGTCCTGTGGCACTGAAATGGGAGTGCTGTGTAAACAATCCCTGAAAAGAGATTATTAGAAAAGGAGCTTGCTATCTCTAAAATGTCTCCCTCTTTTTCATTCCCCTGCCATTTCCCACAACCTTCTTCTGTGTTTATTGGCTTCTGCTTCTTCCATCCACCCTGCTGTTCTGGCCTTGAAATTGTCTCTTTCTCCTTCTGGAAATTGTCCCTCTATAGAAGGCCTGTTCCTGTTGGAGCCCAAGAGTTATCGGTACTTAAACCAGTCTGGCTGTGTCACCAATGAGAACTTGGATGACAGAGAGTTATACAGCAAGGTCATGGTGAGTTTCCTCCTTAACTCTAGAAGATTTCAGGCAGAAACTGATGGGGTTTTCTTCTTAGTTTTAAAAAGACATTCTTCTTGGGCAAATGTTGAATTGCTTTTTGGAGCAAGAATTGGAAGCAAAATTTTCATAGACAAGACAATTTTTTTGCTCTTCACTGTGGTGCCTGCTAGTTGTTTGTATTATTCAATGCAATGGCAATTAAGAGGCTATTTAGACTTCATTACATTCCATCAAGTTGCTTCCAAACTAAGGTGACCCTATGAACTAATGTCCCTCTAAAGGGTCTTATTAACAACCCTGTTCAAGTCTTGCAAATTGAAGTCCATGCTTGCTTCACTGAGTCACTTGTTTCATTCATGCTAGGTCATCTTCTTCTCCAATAGCCTTCTGTTTTTCCTAACATCACAGTTTTTTGCCTGCTCTTCTTTCCTCTTCTCTTTTCATTGATAATCTCTGATCATTTTGGTTCTGGTGAGAGTCATGACGTAATCTGATCTAGAACCCATTCAGGGCATGACTACACTGCAGTTTACACCCCGATTTACCCCAGAATCGGCATAGTTAAATTTGATGTATTTTTCTGTCAACTACAAAATGTGCAGCTAATTGCAAAGAAGCCCATTCTTCTTTTCATTGACATTTTTGCTCTCTGTTAGCTAGCCGTGACTAGTGTTATTTTGTAATGATTCTGCTCATAACACTCCACCCCCCACCCAACCCCCGGTTTCTAGTACTGTATGTGTGTCTAGGGGGAGGATTTCTATGACATTTCACATTTTCTCTGCAACCTATATTTGAACCCATAAGCAAGTTTCAAATATGTTTATAAGTAATCTGGCCTTTCTCCTATGGTAACGTTGATGGCAGAGCACTTTAAAAATGCAGGTGGCATAGTGCTGAGCTGATACAATAGTTTTTGAAACTGCAGTGCTTGTCTGACAGAAAAGCATAGTAAAAAAATTCTATGGAGGAGAGACAAGAGGCATTCACTGGAGGAGGATGTTCCTGCTCCACTGGCATACTGTGCCCCCCCCGACAGAATTTTAAATGCTGCATAAGTTGTTGGGGATATTTTCCAATATACTGGAAAAGGGCTTTGGCAGGGACCTGCTTTCCTCCTGTATGGTGTTGCTTCTTTTAGGTAGCAAGGCGCCTTCCTAAAATACATTGTGGCAGTCCACTGCGGAGATTTAGCAAGCTATTAAAAGAAGAAAGGTGTTAGATATCTCTGCTGTTGAACCAGTTGATGTATGGCTGACAGTTCATGGAAACACAAAAAGAGTGGCAGAGATGGCTCTCCATAAAATTTATGTCCAGCCTGAGTGGCAAAGCCTAAATTCATTTTATGACTCAGGGTGTTGAATATTCTTGGCTCATGCTCATTGGGGCAAAAATCTACTGTGACAGGAATGTAGGAAGTGTGAGAATTGATGTTCTGTTCCAATTTCACTAGGGTTCGTGTGACCCATGATTCACAATTAGAGATGGGGGTATTCGTATTCGTATACTAATACGAATGTCCCCCCACAAGTGCAGATAACGAGATCTGGCCCCCTGGGGCCAGACTGACCACTCACTATTCCGCCGCTGCTGCCGACTCCGCACTCCCTTCCTATCACTCCAGAGCTCGCGATGGATTAGCCACTCCTGGTAGAAGGCAGGATGACGAGCCTCTCTGCCAGGTCGAAGAGTGGCTAATCCACCACGAGGGCTGGAGCAATAGGAAGGAAGCAGGGAGCCCGCAGCAGCAGCGGAGTGGTGAGCATTCATTCTGGCCCGAGGGGGCCAGACCATTGTTATCTGCATCTGTGGGGGGATATTCGTATTTGTATACGAATACCCCCATCTCTAATCACAATCCTAAAGTCTGCTTCCTCTGAAGTCAGGTTTCTGGAGTTCATTATGGCTGTTCCCTAGTGAAGGGTTTTGTGTTTTTAGCCTTAAGCACTTAAGCAGCAAAATCATGCAGAGAGCTGTATTCATTGAGGTTAAAGGGAAGGTGTAGGGATCACTCATAGTAATTAATTGCCCTCTTTCATTCATGGATTGTTGCTGAGTGTGGGAAGGAGACGGGAAACAACATCGCCCATGTGTAGATTCAATGGTGTCATCCACCTGTCATCCTTCCGTATTTTCCCCTCTGCTTCTTCCTTCACTCTTCTTACCACAGAGATATCACTTACGAGGGAAAGGTGAAATACCTGCAAAATACCTTTTGTCTAATAACACTAGAAACTATCTGTCCAGAATCACTGTTTTTGCCTCTTACAGGCACAGTAAAGGCAGAAATAGTGTGCATAACTTAATTCATATGTGTTTTGAGCAGACTGCTCTTGAAGTGATGGGGTTCAGCTCTGAAGAGATCAGAGACATTTTCAAGCTTCTCTCTGGCATTCTGCAACTTGGAAACACTGAGTTCATGACTGCTGGAGGAGCTCAGATTACAACAAAAACTGGTAAGTATGAAACCTTCTTCTCCCCTATAATCTTGGTGTATGATGACATTTAACTTACAGGGCAATATGGCCTCTTTGCTACTACTTCTCTGTGACTGATCACATGATAAGATTGGATGGTCGGAAATAATATATGTTCTCTAGGCAGTCAGGGGCAAGTCCCTGTCTAGTATATGACTAATAAGTGAGTTTTTCAGAGGCTGCATATGCAGAGGGGCAGATATGTGGATACACAAAAGCACTCAGTCCTGTAAAGTTCTCTGTTTTTAAATATTCTCACTTAGCTGCTATATGGGCAAACATGAAGGCATGTCTGAAAATAGGAGCAGTCAACTTGTTCTTCAGGTATTATTGGGCTGCAACTTCCATTCACTCTGGGCAGCATGGTCATTGGTTAGGGATTATAGAAATTGCAGTTCTTACAAAATCTGAACCCTGGGTTGTCTACTCCTATTCTAAAATATTAGCATTGTCTTCTCAGTTGTTTATTGATAGGTATGCTCACTGACAGTTTTTCCTGTTGTGTCACAAAGTAGATTGGCCCGGACAAAATGAGGTTCCATCCTTAAGGTTGTGGGTTTTTACCAGTATATATATATATTTTCCTGTGGGAATGTCATAGTTTAAGTACTTTGGGGGTTTGCTTGCTTGTTTGATTGGTTGGTTGGTTGTTGTTTTTGTTGTTTTGTTTTGTTTTGTTTCGGCTTATGTCATGACCTTCCAAGTGGAGGCTTTGGGGAAAACTGCAGCAACAAAGTTCTATCACATGCTTTTTAAGTCTGTGCAGCTTCCCATCTCAGCTTTTGCTGCTAAGTCATACTGGCTTTCCCGGAGGGAAATAATTGGTGCCTTGTGGACAAGTCCTTCCTTTTGTGCCTCATTCTTGTCTTTAAAAAGAAAAAAGACAGAATGAGGTTGCATCCTTAAGGTTGTGGGTTTTTACCTGCAATGAGCTACTTTTTAAAAAATATAAATGCATAATCGAGTTATTTCTCAAGACGGCTTATGTCATGACCTTCCAAGTGGAGGCTTTGGGGAAAACTGCAGCAACAAAGTTCTATCACATGCTTTTTAAGTCTGTGCAGCTTCCCATCTCAGCTTTTGCTGCTAAGTCATACTGGCTTTCCCGGAGGGAAATAATTGGTGCCTTGTGGACAAGTCCTTCCTTTTGTGCCTCATTCTTGTCTTTAAAAAGAAAAACAAAATCTTTTCCAGAGTTTGGAATATTTTGTTACAAGTAAATAGTTACCTGCAATGAGCTACTTTTAAAAAATAAATAAATGCATAATCGAGTTATTTCTCAAGAGAAATGTACTGAGCTAGAGTGAAATTATTCCACTTATGAATGGCTAGAATTTTCTAATGCAAGTGATATCTTTATTGAACCACTAAAAAAAAAATCACACAGATTGCAAGCTTTTGTGGGTAAAATCCCACTTCCTTAGGCTGTGCATCAGTCTTTCATGCACAGCATGAGAATTGTATCCACAAAAACTGGCAATTTGTGTGATTTTTTTAGTGATTCAGTAAAGGTATCACTTAACTCTCCTAATTATTTCTAAAATTTTCTACTTACTCCTTAAAAGACAATTTTAAAGGTGTTTTGACCAGAATTGTCACATTGTTATACTCCGTTATCAGTCGTAAGGTGTTTACTTTTAAACAAAACTAATTAACTAATGAAAAGAAAGAGTGAAACAAAGTTACTTCTAAAACATTGTAGTCAATATAGTGGTGCCTCCACTTACGAACATCCCTACTTACGACCATTTCAAGTTACGACCAGCTCCAGTTGCAAGTAGAAGCAAAATTTTGCGGCTAGAGTTGATCCTGCAGGGCTCTTCTTATGTTATGTTCTTATGCACTGTCTGTTCTCCATCATCCTCTTTCCCAGTGTTAAATAATGCCAGTGAACTGCTTGGCTTGGATACCTTCCAGTTGTCTGAAGTCCTCACCCAGAGATCCATGTTTCTACGGGGGGAGGAAATTAGCTCTCCCCTCACTGTGGAACAGGTAAGTGATTAGATGGTTGTTTTGCATTCAGCATGGTAGCAGCATATGGCTGTGAAGGGGTTTTTCGCCCCCCTAGGTGGCAGCAGTCACATGGATGTCAAAATGAATCAGATTGGGCTTGACTGAGGTCTCTGGTTTGATTATACATTTTCAGAACAAATGAATGGGAACACTCCTTCAAGTGATTCATAATTTATGTGTAGTATTTGCTGGAGGATACTGTGATAGCTCCTGGCATGGTTGGCTTTAAAAGGTATGCTTGATGGATTAATGCAAGGCAGGTATATCAATGGTTGTAAGCTATGCTAGTCAAAAATTGATTCTCCATGACCAGAGGTAGTATATTTTGATTACTGGGTGCCAGTGGCAAACACAGAATGGCTGTCTCCTTTTTCATTCCCTTTTGTAAGTTGTCTCTTGGAACCTGTCCAGTCAGATTTGGAAGCAGAAAGCTGGATTAGTGGTTGTTTGATGTGGTCTTCAAAGCAGTCTTGTGCTCTGATTTCTATGGTACCTGGGTCTTAACATTTGCTCATTGTAAATGACAGCTGAGGCGCCAGAGATACCCCTTGCAGTTTTTTGTATGATGGCCAAGCAGATGAGTGTAATACATAGTTTTACACTTTGGGTGGCCAAAGCTGAACTTTGGAAAAAATATGGTGCTGTTGCTAACTGCTCTAAGAGTCACACAACCTTAATAATTTGGTTCTCTGCTTCCAAATGCTAATTTCCCCAGCCAAGCCCTCCAAGGACAGGAGCCAGTTGTTGCCAGATGCTCTGTGGGCAAGAGAGGACAAGGAAATCCCAGTCAGCTTGCATTGTATACAAAGCTCATTACCATTCCTAACTTTGACATTTTCACTGTGTGGAGCAGAAAGAGCTACAGGCAGTGAATGGAGCCTTTGATAGAATACACATCTCTGTGTGTGTCCTTCACCCGCAGCCCCCAGTTTTGTCCCAGCACTGGGTGCGGTTAGTTAGGCGCCCATTCCTGAAAGATGTGACAGTGATATGACTATGGAGTCTGGCCACTTACGATCTGCTTTTGTCCTTGTCTTTGTGTTGCTGACTGCAGTTGGCCTAGGCCCAAGCTGCATGTTAGAGGGAATGGCTCGCTGCCACTTGACCTCCATCTTTTCCTCTCATCTCCTCAGTAATGTTCAGTTAATGACACATTAAAGTGGCATTGTTGTCCCCAGGGGCATCCTGTCCTCTCCTCTGCCTTGCCCACCCTGGCAAGCTGCAGCTAATGAAGGTGGGGATGGGGGTGGGGGTGGAAACCACTAGATCAGTAGCATCATTCCTCTTCTTTAGCAGTGTTACTGAGGAGATGCAGGGTAGTGTCAGCCATTCGTTTCCTACTTGCATCGCCACATCACTATCATGCTTATGGCCCTACATGCTTTCAGGCTTAACACCTGAATAGGGCCATGCTCTTTGTTGACAAGTAGGCCTGAGTGGGTGTTCCAACGGAGTTGGGAGGCTTGCATGGTAGTGATTGTTTCATTTTGGGCCCTGGAGGCCCTGGAGTTTCAGACGGGGTTTCTCCTCTGTTCTAAAGTGGGTTTACTTTACAAATGAGTTTCTCAGGAGAAAGTGTTCATTGGCCATACTTTTCTGAATAGGTCTACTCTCTGGGCCCTATTCTACAGATTTAATCTGTCCTGCTCTTCCCTAGCAAGAAAAGTAAAATAACCAACTGATTTCTTGTGTTGCTGGCGGTAGCGCTTGATCCCACAGCATCTTTCTGTTTGCTCCTAGGCTGCTGACTCCAGAGACTCACTGGCCATGGCCCTTTATTCTCAGTGCTTCTCATGGATCATTGGCAGGATTAATTCAAAGATAAAAGGGAAAGAAAATTTTAAATCCGTGGGAATTCTGGATATCTTCGGTTTTGAGAATTTCCAGGTTAGAAATTAAGCTGACCGGGATTGTAGTATGGCGCAATTGTGATTTCAAAGCATGCAGAAAGCAAAAACTGGGTTGGTGGGTGGGGAATGCCAAAAGCGCAAGCAAGGCGGAGTCTGTCAAGAGTAATGCAAGTACATTATTGATATACAAGATCCCATAGAAATGACTTCAAAAGAGCATTTAGGGCCATCATCATAATGTGAATATGTAGTAATCTATGTCTCTTTGGGCTTATGTGCATGTGCACACATTACCTCATACAGATACCTTGAACAGTTTCTGTTCTTCTGTGTCTTGTTGCATCCTGAAATTGACCATCTTCTATGCTTTGTGAGTGATTCTGTAAGCAATCTGTAGTGCACAGATTGGCTGTTCTAGCATATGGGCGGTGGATGGGAACAGCAGATAGAATAAGCATTTCTGCCTTTCCTCCTAGACTTCCATGTTCTCTTCCATAAAGCCATGAAGAGAAGTTTCTTTCCAGACTAAGAACACAAGCATTAATGTTTCTCTTGTCACATGCACAGGAGAATCGGTTTGAACAGTTTAACATCAACTATGCAAATGAGAAACTCCAAGAGTACTTCAACAAGCACATATTCTCCTTGGAACAACTTGAGTATAACAGGTAATGATTTGTGCTTTTCAGGAGACAGGAGTTGCTGCTTGTTCTTAGTGGTTTCTGGCAACCAGGTAGAGCAGTGGCTCCTAACCTTCGATCCGCAGATGTTCTTGGGCTACAAACCCTAGAAATCCTGGCCAACACAGCTAGTAATGAAGGCTTCTGGGAGGTTTGGTTCAAGAACATCTGGAGACACAAGGTTGGGAACCACTGAGGTAGAGGATGGAAATCTGTTCGCTTTTTGGATTGCATCTTTTACACTTGGTATTAAGATATCTGAGAAATGGTTTTCTGGAATTGATGAAACTCAGTCTGTTTTGTCTCCCCGTGGCATGCGGCTGCCCCGTATTCCAAGTACAAAGCATCTTGCAGTTTCTCCCCTCTTGTACTTTACAAATTAATTCTTGATTTGTTTCCCCCCCCCCTTTTGGTTGGCAGAGAGGGGATAAGCTGGGAAGCCATTGACTGGATGGATAATGCAGAGTGCCTGGATCTGATTGAGAAGGTAGGTTTCTCTGGCATTTCCCAGCCCCAAGATCTGTTTCTCTGGCCTGTTTTGCAGGTGATGCCTGTGCTTAGACTCTCCTGTATAGAGAGCTACATAGTGGCTCCTTCCTAGGTACAGGTAGTTATTTAAAATATACCCTCATCCCTTGTGTTGGCCCCTATCTCTCCTCTGGCAAATTAGCATGCTTCATGCAAGTCATTGTGTAGATTATTGGAGAACTGTAGGTAAATCTGTAGATTTCCAAGGAACCATGGAAAAGGAAGAGAGAATGACTCAAAGAAAGACACAGTTGGCTCAAGGTGGGTGCTCCCAATTTTTCTTCGAGATGCATAAAATGTGCGCTATTTCCTCTTGTCAAATCTTAGTGATGGTAGGCTAGGACATTATGGATTAATTTTCATTTCTGATGGGTCGTCATTTCTTTGTACCCTCCACTTTTCAGTCGCCTCTGTGTCCCAGGTTGATGGGGATCAGGTTGTCCAGGTGTGTTTGCTATATTAAAAATATATATTTTTAAGAAACCACATTGTAAAAAATAAAAACACAGCAGAGGTTTAAATGGAATGATGAGAGAAACAAAACAGATACCAGTTCCAGAACTGAAAGCCTTTAGGTGTAGGCATTTAAAGCTACTAAGTTGCCTCTGTGGACTTTTTTTTCCCAAAAGTGTGACTGCTGTCGGAGACGCTGATTCAGTTGTGGGGGACTTGATTATTCTCCAGGACATTGGTGCACCCCAGGAATTGTCACATCCAAAGAACTGCATGGTTTTCCAGCATATGCCACTGGAAGATGTTATGACGGCCCCCAGCTGAGATGGTTTTGAAAGAGGATTAGGCAGATGTATGGAAGATAAGGATACAAATGCGCACTGGTCATGTTAGGTATAAACCGTAATGAGAACCAGTGTATCTCTGAATACCAGCTGCTGTGGGACATGAGCAGGAGTGTCTGTTGCACTCAAGTCCTGCTTTTAGGTTTTTCATGGGGACCTGATGGGCTGGAGAAGCAGAATGCTGGAGTAGATAAAACTTTGGCCTGATCTAGTACAACTCCTCTTTCCAATCATCAAGTTCTTTTGCCAAGCTTAAGACTGCTCTTTGTTCTAAACCTGAATGTGACTATTATTTATATGCAAAACGGGACTTGAACCCACAATAGGACAACCCAAAGGCTTCCTGTTAGCACTTGATAGGATGCTGCTTTGTGGTGTTTTATTTCCAGCTGGGAGGTGTTTCTTCAGATGCTTAGCTTACCATCATTCTCCAAGTGCCATCACCTGCCAGCTCTCTCTCTCTTCTTCCTTCTTGTTTGGTTGCAGAAACTTGGCTTGTTAGCATTGATAAATGAAGAAAGTAGATTCCCCAAAGGTACAGACAACACCCTTTTGGAAAAGCTCCACAGTCAACATGGGGTGAGTAGATACGCATAGATACATATTTCTGATGCTTAGAATGCTGTACTATTGACCCACTGTTTTAAAAGCTACAACAGGAATCACAATGAAAGATTATAATTCCAGTATGAAGATACTGTGATGAAGTGATTTTAAAAAGTCTATAGAGATGTAATTTTTTTTTTTGAAAACCCATAAATCAGGCAGGCTTGCTTAGCCAGCAGGTTTGAAAAACACAGTCCTCTTAAGGCACATGATGTTAAGGCAGAAACTGGACAAATTGGGAGATGTATGTAAGAAAACAGACTTTTTGAGGGTTAGGGTGCCTCAAGATAGGGATGGGTGGCATCCTTATTACTGTTCATCACTGGCTTATCTAAGAAAACAGACTGTTTGAGGGTTAGGGTGCCTCAAGATAGGGGTGGGTGGCATCCTTATTACTGGTTGTTGTGGGTTTTTCGGGCTTCTTGGCTTCTGGCACAAGCCAATCAAGGAATTGCAGCAAAGCCACTACCTGGGGGCCACATGTTGCAAACCCCATTGTTTGTTTTGGCCCTGAAAACTGCAGTTTTCTCCTCAGCTGTAGCTTTTTCTTGCTAGCTTACCCTCTGCATTCTGGACCTGCATCACATTTTGTAGATACTGTACTCTTCAAAGACAAGTACAGAACTAATGAGCATTGGAGTGACCCCACTTAAAGTTCATCACAACATGTATCACAATTGTTAGTACTATAAACTTTTGATTCACATATCTTTAGAGGGAAGACAATCGCATCAAGAAGACATCAAAGGTCCCTATAATATTAAAACAGTCCTTTTTTTAAAAGAACTCCATAAGATAATTATGAGATTTGTATGGCAAGGTAAAAAACCAAAAATTAAAATTAAAGCAATGCAAGATACCAAACAGAGGGAGGGTTTTTGGTCTTCTGGACTGGGTGTTGTACTATAGATCCTGTATTAGACTGGATAAAAGAATGGATAATCTTGGAAAATGATAGATTACTCAGCTTGGAAGGACATGATTTGCAGTGTGGATGGCATGCTTTTCTGTGGTATAAAAAAAGACAAAGAACAAAAACATTTTAATTCACATTTTAATGATAAGAAGAGCTTTGTTAGGAACCTGGACAAAGACCATCCAACAGACTTACCAAAAAATATCAGTCTGGGTATCACCTATAGAGGCCTTTACTCAACCTAATCTAATGACGAAAGTTAAGCTCCTAAAATACCAAGACTTATTGAAAAAGAACTGTGAGCTAAGGTCTAAAGAAGAGTTGGAAATACAGAATATATATATAGACTGGTGGTCCAGGGCACAAATATATATATAGACTTGTGGTCCAGGGCACAGCTTGAATCCAGATATAGCAAAGATAAAATAGAGGGTTTCTATCTAGAACAAACGACATTTGATAAAGCATTACTAGGCTCCAAAGATAAAATAATTAAGAGAATGTATAACCACTTGTGAGAAATTAAAATGCAAGATGAGATGGTTAAAGAATGTATGATTAAGTGGGCACAGAACATAGGGCACAATATTGATATCTGTCAATGGCCACAAATATGGTAAAATAATATAAAGCTCACAAAATTGGTTAACTTTAAAGAGAACTTGTATAAAATGTTTTACAGATGGCACATGACTCCTGAAAAATTGTCAAAGATATACACAGATGTATCAAATAGATGTTGGAAATGTGAAACACAGGTGGGAAGCTACTATCATATGTGGTGGACTTGTAGAGTAGCGAAACAATATTGGATAAAAGTACATACTGAATTACAACAAACAGTGTGTTGCAAGGTTCCATTAGCCCCAGAACTGTTCTTATTGAGTATGATACCAGATAATATAGATAAAGCAAAGAAATGTATAGTTATATATATAGTTACTGCAGCTAGAATTCTTTATGCTAAAAATTGGAAAAGTCAGGTGGTACCGAAATAAGAAGATCTTACGGAAATGATAAAGGAAACGGCAGAAATAGACATTTTATCAGAAGTAATGAAGGACTGTCCATTGCAAAAGGCAACAAAAAGATGGGACTTATTTCATAAATGGTTAGAGTCATCAGATAGTGCTCGAATAGCATAGATCCAAATGTGAATTAAAATATGGAAGGCAGAAAATAGTAGAACAGCTGAGCTTGAATCTTGATATTACAATATAAATAGAATGGATGTTAGTATATTTTTGTTTCTCCTCTCCCCTAACCCAAATCCTTTCCCCTTACTTTTACCTTTTGTATCCCATACCCCAACCCAAGTTATCCAAATAATAAAAATTATTAATTAAAAAAAGAGAAGACATCAAAGGAAAGAGGAGCACTGCATTGTCCCTGAACTCCATATTTTTATTTCCTCCTATCCCACAACAACATGGCTGCTTCTCTGGTGGTCATATAATAAGAACCACATTTTTGTGGTTTGCTTTGGTTGTTTAAAGGGCTGCACAGGGAGTCATGTAGGTCTCCCTCCTTCATTCTTCCTATCAGACCATGTATAAGCACTTGGGGAGCTGCTGCTTTGGCTGGCATCCTTTGCCAGCCCTGGGAAGGTATTTTCATGTCATATGATTTAAGAAAAGACATACGCTCACTCTGTGAAGCTAAGCCCAGTCTCTTCAAAGCAAAAGCAAATAGAACCATATAATGCCTATTCTCGCTCAAGCAGATGACCCAAACAGATGAATAGTTGCTAAGATTCAGTGGGTGGAAGTTAAAATTAGATTAATGTTTCAGGGCAGAATAGACTTCCTTGTTCAGTTTACTGGATAATGGCTAAAAACTCCCAGATATGAGCTGTACTTTATGAAGAGCCTGTCTTTTAACTGTTCTGGGAAGCCAGTAGGCAGAATGGTCTGGTGGCTCCTGACATAGCTGAAATGTTGATATCTGGGGCAGGGAACCTTCCAGAAAGATCAGTTCTTCCCCATTAGAATATCAGAGATGTAGCCCCAGCAGGGACATGTATAAAGATATTTCCTCTGTATTGACTCCACCAAATCCTTCTGCCTATGAAGTATGTGGTTGTTTTTGCCAAGGCTGTTTCCTCCACTTCTCCAAAATGTATGATTTGGCTCAATTTGACACTGCACTGTTGCCCTAGAAATTACTGCTGCAGTGTTAGAAATGAAGACCTTGATCTGCTGCTTCAGCTGCAAGTATATTAGAAATAGTGTTTCTCTTGCCTTTGTTTCAGAGCAACCAATATTATTTGAAGCCTCGGGTAATAGATTTCCAGTTTGGGATCCAGCATTATGCAGGAGAAGTAAGTGTACTTTACTTACTAGCTGAGTGGGCCTCATGTCTTGAGTTCAGGGCCTAGAATCTTGTGACACAACAACCCTCTGCCTCAGTGTGCCTGCGGTCTTCAGAGACATGGCTAAAATGAGAAAGCTTTTCTCTGGATTAGTGGGGGGCTGAGAATAGCCTTCTTCTTCTGGCTCCTGTCCCACCCAACGTTGGGCAAAGTCTTCAATTATGGATGTGGCAGTTCTAACATAAGAACATAAGAAGAGCCCTGCTGGATCAGCCAAGGGCCCATCTAGTCCAGTTTCCTGTGTCTCACAGGGTCCCACCAGATGCTTCGGGGAGCACACGAGACAACTAGATAGCTGTCTCCTGATACCCCTCCCCTGCATCTGGCATTTGGAGGTACCTTCCTTTTAAGCCTGGAGATTATACATCTCATGGCTTGTAACCTGAGAAATAACTTTTCCTCCAGGAATTTGTCCAACCTCCTTTTAAAGGCATCTAGACCAGATGCCATCATCAACATATCCTGTGGCAAGGAGTTCCACAGACTAACAACACATTGGGTAAAGAAATATTTTCTTTTGTCTGTTCTCACTCTCACAACACTCAATTGAAGTGGATGTCCCCTGGTTCTGGTATTGCGTGAGAGGGAAAAGAGCTTCCTTGTATGCACTTTATCCATCCCCTGCATAATTTTATATATCTCAATCATGTCCCCCCTCAGGCGCCTTTTCTCTAGACTCATAAAGAGCCCCAAATGGTTTAGGCTTTCCTCATAAGGGAGGTGCCCCAGCCCAGTCATCATTTGAGTCATTTTCTTCTGCAACTTTTCCAGTTCCGCTGTCTTTTTTGAGGTGCGATGACCAAAACTGTACGCAATACAGTGGTGCCTCGCTTAACGAGTGGATCGTTTAACAACGAATCCGCATAGCGACGTGTTTTTACGCTCGCATTGCAATGTTTTCTATGGGCAAACATGGCATTGTGATGATCGGTAAGTGTTTCGCTTACCGATCTTCGCATTGCGATGTTTGGGAAACAGCTGATTGGCGGTTCCAAAATGGCCACCGGAAGAAGAAAATGGCCGCCCACAGCGTTTTCGCGCCCTGCCCTCGCTTAACGGAGTTTAATGCATTCCTATGGGGTTTTCCGTTCTGTTTAGCGATGTTTCCGGATAGCGACGTTAATCCTGGAACAGATTAACGTCGCTATGCGGGGCACCACTGTACTCCAGGTATACTGTACTCCTTACCAGTGTTTTTTACAATGGCATTATAATGTTGGCTGTTTTATTTTCAATCCCATTTTTAATGATTTCTAGCATGGAGTTGGCCTTCTTCACTGCCCCCGCATATTGGGTTGACCCTTTCATCGAGGTCTCCACCAGCACACCAAGTCTCCAGTGTTCTTCACCCTTTCAAATCTTCTCTATCCTTCATTTTTCCTCATTTAATGTTAATGATCAGCTGCAATAATCTGTATATTTTGTTTCTCATGACTTGACTGACATTTTCTAGGTTTCTGCCTTATAGATGTGTTAGGATTTCTTGAGCCTCTGTTCATTTGTTTTCATGCTTTTTCATTGGTCTCCTTCTCGATTCCAAGAATTCATCGCCTGCAGCAAGTATTGAACTCTGAGACGCTGCCTTGACTTTGGATATATCAAGTACCATCCTGTTTAAGTTCCACAGGCTGTGAGCTTATTTAGGGCCACATAGGAAAAAAACAGGAGAAACCACACACCCCAAAGTCTATTATGGTATATCATAAATATTTTTTTACTGGCATGTAAAACAGGAACTTATAATAAATATAAAATGCCATATATGTTCATAATCTGAAGGCCATGAATACAATAATATTTCATTGCAACACACAGGATTTTATAAAATTCTATGTTAAACACCACTGATCCCTACTGGAAGAATTATTCTCTACGATTATCTTAGATGGCTGAGATTGGGATAGTAAATCACTCATATATTGGAATAAAGTTTGGGGTCCCTGTTAGTTTACCCTTTTAATTGGTTCTTGCACTTGCTTTGGGCTGGCTGGATAGCTCAGTGACCTGGGGACCTGGCTACAGAGCCAGAGACTTGTAGTTTAATTCCCCACTATAACTCCTGGAGGAAGAGCCAGCCTATGTGGCCTTGGGCAAGCTGCACAGTCCCAGGGTGACCCCCAGAAGAAGGGAATGGTAAACCACTTCTCAGTACTTTCTACCAAGAAAACCCTGGAGTCACCTAGAAGTCATAATTGACTTGACCGCAAGCAATTTTTATTATTTGTTTAGGAGCCATTCACACATTGTAGCCATTACAGTTTAGAACCTCATGGCTATTGCTTTGTGAGGTTTTATGAACTCGGTGTTCCTGGTTACTGTCAGAGGAAGCATATGGAATAGCAGTGTGACAGCTGAACTTCCCATTAAAAGAGTCTTTCTTAAAGGATTCCCCATTGTGACTATGATGGATAGTGTTTGTCATTCTGTATATAGAACTTGCTGGCACATTATAATACATTGAATACATGCACAGTTTGTGGCTATGCTGGTTCTGCTGGTCGTGCTTTTCCATTAGCTCACCCAAAGTCAAGGTACGCTGATGGCTGCAATTGGTGGAGGAAGTCTGTTTAAAACTCTTTATAAAATCTGATATTTAATCTGCCCTTCTGAAGTCATGTGATAATCTGAAATCATGTGATATATCTGAACTTGTATCCTCATGATGAATCTGTGAGTAGACCAGGCTGAGGCCCAAGGTCATTTGTGGCTTAGTTGAGTTTGAAGCTGGGCATCTCCAGTCCTTGTCCCGCACTGCACAGCATTGATCCTCTTAGTCTACAGAAGAGGAGGACTATGCGCAAGTCCTTTCAACGGGATGTTTCTGTTTCTTCTTGGTGAGCTGCATATATTATTTGCATACTTTGGCTGTGTATGCTTTCCTCTTCTCATCCTGCAGCCCTTGGACACAGCTTCATGTTTGTTTCCCAACCTGTCGTTCATAGGTTCTATATGATGTGAGGGGCTTCCTGGAGAAAAACAGAGACACCTTTCGAGACGATATTTTAAACATGCTGAAGGACAGTAGGTAAGCAACTCCTGGCTAACCAGAATGAAGCCTGAACTTATTGGAGGTACTGATGACTGAGAAATGAGGTAGCAGAGTGTCTGAATCATTGGAGCTGTTCCTTGGATGCTCAGTGAAGTAGACATAAAAACGAGAAGCTGGCATATAGAGCGCCACTGCATAGTTTGACAGTTTGGGAGAGCCAGAGACATTCAGGGCTTCGCAGTGGCTGCTGCTGATGTTCTTGGATGGGTTTAGTTGCTGAGTCTCATGCTTAGCTGGTTCCATAAAATACAGCAGGATGCAACCCCTTGCAGAAGTGCTCCGAACTGTTCCAAGACTCATCAGAGAACTAAAAGGGGGAATGAAGGGATTGCCCTGTTTAAGACGATGGAGACACCAACCTGTGAGTTCCTGCCCTTGGAATTAATTGTTCTATGTCTCCTCAATCTCCCCTGTCCTCCTTTTTGCTCACAGATTAGATTTCATCTATGATCTCTTTGAAAGAGTCTCTAGCGGCAGCAGTGAAGACACTCTGAAGATGGGAACTCAGAGGCGCAGGCCGACTGTCAGCTCTCAGTTCAGGGTAAGAGCAGCAGGCCCACTGAAAGTGCATGCAAAGGTTATCCAAAAACAGGGGCCACCTGAGCCCTCCCCCCCCCATGCCCAGGTGATCTCAGCTGTGAACAAGTAATTCATGTCATGGATCGGCCTGTCTCCATCTCTGCTTTGGGAAGGCAAGCTGTCATTTTAATAAAACAGTAGCATTTAAATACCATATACATTTATCCAGTGACATGTACATCTGCCCTGGTGGGTTTTTTAAAAACCCCTGTCATTGTTGCAAACCTATTCTGAAGATTAAGAAGGGAGAAGTAATTTCTTGACATCATGGTGGTACGCCAGACCAATGCTGTGCATTGCTGACTTCAGCTGGAGATGACCAGAACAGGTTTGTACTAAGCCCAGCCTGGGCAGAAACCTGCTGACCTGGTGAGAAATGAGATGAATGTACTTACAGAGTGGTTTCACCACAAATTATGTAAGCTTATGAATTGCCTGTAAGAAGTGCTGAGTCATTTGAAACTCATGTTCAGAGATTTCTGTTCCTTCATCACATCTGAGAACATGTGTGGCAGGTTCCTATGTGTGTATGTCTGTGTGCACATGTGTATGTTCATGGAACGATGGAGCAGGTCCTTCAGAATTCCCGAGAAGAATTATTGTTCCTGTTCCATTCCAGGACTCCCTACACTCTTTGATGGCAACACTCAGCACGTGCAATCCATTGTTCATTCGCTGCATCAAACCCAATCTGGAAAAGGTGAATCTCTTCAACTGGGGATGTCATTTGGGCTGGGAAGGGAGAGAAGTTCTGTTTAGATAGCAACCCTACAAACTAGAAGGTATGTGCATGTGTGGATTTCCCCTGGAAAGTGGAGTGCTATGAATTTGCAGCCAGCCAAGACAGCATGGAATCACAGAATTGTAGAGCTGGAAGGAACACCAGGTGTCATGGATTCCGATCCCCCAAGGAAGCTGCAGATCCACAACTAAGCATCCCTGACAGCTGGCACATTACTGCAAACCAACAAAGAGCCACAGGCAAATCTACAAGCCACTCAGAAAATAATCAGCCCCAAGCTGACAGATGCAGCCTCACTGTACTCTCTCTTCCATCAATCTCATGCAAAATGCCAAAGTTTACTTGCGCCATTCATGAGCTCATAAGTACATTTTCTAAGCAGAGCATTGGTTAATGCTGGCACGCAGGCAAGGACAGAAGAGACTCGGGCGTTATGGCATAAAAGGACCACAGTATGGTTTTAACCGAGAATCCTGTGGGGTTTCTTTTCTCTGTTTCTTTGGCCAGAGCAAGTACTGAAGGAATTGAACAAAGACCATGTGTACACATGTGACTAATTAAGCAGTGCACAGGCAAATGCAATACATTTCATACAAGAAGATCATTTCATGTTTTTCATTTCATTCCTTGATCTATTTATACTTCTGCCCTTTCTCTAGGCTCCAAATCTCTTCAGTCCAGATGTGGTGCTGAAACAGCTTCGGTACTCAGGCATGCTAGAGACAGTGAAGGTTCGTAGAGCTGGTTTTCCTGTGAGGCGGCTCTTTCAAGACTTCCTGCTCAGGTAAAAGTGATTGTGCTACCTCTGGGATCAGTTTTGCTGAGGATGGAAATCTAGCTCTCAGTGCTTTCAGATTTTAAGGGCAGTGGTGAGGAAATAGCTACCCTGTTTCCCCGAAAATAAGACCTAACCTGAAAATAAGCCCTAGTATGATTTTTCAGGATGCTCATAATATAAGCCCTACCCCAAAAATAAGTCCTAGTTAAGTGAAAGCCCGCCCTTCACAATCGTGCAGCAACCAGAAGATGACATGACTGCATTTGAATAAATGTAGAAAAAATTAATATAAGACCCTGTCTTATTTTTGGGGAAACATGGTAGGCTGTAAGAAATCAGAGAAACATGTCTTGTTTTTGGGGAGGCACATTTAGGTGAGCCTGGACAGGCCATCTCTTTTAATCCTATACAATGAGATAACGTTCACAGGTCTGTCCTTTGCTGTTCTTACCTGTTCAAAAAGCCGTAGCTGTCCTTAACCATGGCCAGAATCCTGCTGCTTCACATGACAAATAACAGTAGAGTAGACCCATTGAGCCACTGAGGATTTGGTGAGTCAGTTTCTCTTTGAGATCACATTGATTCATTAGGCTTGCTCTATCTGACTTACTTTAACATAGCAACTCGCAGTTAGAGTAGACCTATTAGAATAAATTAAAATTATGGAGAATTTACCTTGCCAGATCCCCATGGATTCAGTGGTCCCACTTCAGTGCAATTTTACTACACTGAGCAGTAGGATTTTGGCCAATGTGAAATCAGTGAAGGAGCAGAGAGGGTGAAGAATAAATGAATATTCCCGAGAAAATTGTATTCAGAATTTTGCTTAAATTACACTTTATGTATCTGGTTGCCCTCCTGTTGCTGGATGACAGAGGGTTGTGTTGCAGATTGTTGGAAAACGTAATGAAGGGTGGCCAGTTGTTAGCTTTACAGGAAGTTCAAAGCTGTTGCTACTGAGAAGTAAAAGGAGGGGGAGATCGGTGGCCCTTGGGGGATGGAGAGCTTGGTATGTAACGCCAAGAGAAGGGTTGTTTTGTGCCGGTTTTTAAGAGTTTTCTTTGGTACTCTAAGGTACAAGATGCTCCTGAAGAACTGGAGCAGTCCCGATGGGGCAAAGGCCACATGCACAGCCTTCCTGCAGACTTATGACCTTGCCCAGAGGGAATGGAAGCTAGGGAAAACCAAGGTATGTCTTTTTTGCATAATAAAAAATATGCGCAGTAATGTTCTGTGCTAAGAAGTCTGCAGGTATAGGATTGCTGTTGCTGTTGGATGTCCTGGGTGCCTGCCTCTGATAAAATTAAGCTGACTCCACTATGGTGCTGAACACAGAAACAGTGTATACTGAATGGGTTTAGATACACATTGCATACTTGCCTTCCTGTGCAGTAGAGGCCCATGCAGATTTACTTGGACAATTAATGCTTTCCAGGTCAGGAGAAGGGTTGTGGGGTCTGCTGCCATTTTGACTGGAAGGCAGGACCACAATTCAGTGGAAGATTCTGTGCCTTTGCAGCTTTCCTTCCTGGCATCTGCAGCTGAAAGGGTCTTAAAGGAGCTGGAAGAGACCTCTGTCTAGGTCACTGACAGATGTTAATGGAAGATGTTAATGGAAGATCCATAGTAGAGGTTCAGATGATTAAATACCCCTTGTTGTTTTCAACATCTAGGAGCTTTCAGTGCAGTGGTAATTCTGCATCCTGAGCAAATGCAGGATTGCCATTGTGTCCCCTTGGGTCCTTTTGAGGAGAAAGGATGGGTGGTTAGGTAAATCAATCAATCAATCAATCAATCAATCAATCAAGCAAGCAAGCAAGCAAGCAAGCAAGCAAGCAAGCAAGCAAGCAAGCAAGCAAGCAAGCAAGCAAGCAAGCAAGCAAGCAAGCAAGCAAGCAAGCAAGCAAGCAAGCAAGCAAGCAAGCAAGCAAGCAAGCAAGCAAGCAAGCAAGCAAGCAAGCAAGCAAGCAAGCAAGCAAGCAAGCAAGCAAGCAAGCAAGCAAGCAAGCAAGCAAGCAAGCAAGCAAGCAAGCAAGCAAGCAAGCAAGCAAGCAAGCAAGCAAGCAAGCAAGCAAGCAAGCAAGCAAGCAAGCAAGCAAGCAAGCAAGCAAGCAAGCAAGCAAGCAAGCAAGCAAGCAAGCAAGCAAGCAAGCAAGCAAGCAAGCAAGCAAGCAAGCAAGCAAGCAAGCAAGCAAGCAAGCAAGCAAGCAAGCAAGCAAGCAAGCAAGCAAGCAAGCAAGCAAGCAAGCAAGCAAGCAAGCAAGCAAGCAAGCAAGCAAGCAAGCAAGCAAGCAAGCAAGCAAGCAAGCAAGCAAGCAAGCAAGCAAGCAAGCAAGCAAGCAAGCAAGCAAGCAAGCAAGCAAGCAAGCAAGCAAGCAAGCAAGCAAGCAAGCAAGCAAGCAAGCAAGCAAGCAAGCAAGCAAGCAAGCAAGCAAGCAAGCAAGCAAGCAAGCAAGCAAGCAAGCAAGCAAGCAAGCAAGCAAGCAAGCAAGCAAGCAAGCAAGCAAGCAAGCAAGCAAGCAAGCAAGCAAGCAAGCAAGCAAGCAAGCAAGCAAGCAAGCAAGCAAGCAAGCAAGCAAGCAAGCAAGCAAGCAAGCAAACAAACAAACAAACAAACAAACAAATAAATAAATAAATAAATAAATGTTTTAGAATCAAGTTTATGTCTTTTTCAACCAATCTTCCTTTTTTGAGACTAGACACATAAGCCTGAAAGGAATTGAGCCCTGGATGCTGAAACTCAGTGTATCTGCTACTCTCTGCAGGATTAAATACATGCTATTTGCCATTGTAGCTATATTGGCACTTACTCTTAATGCTCTGAAATATCCTTAAGGCAGAGAACAGAGTGTTGTCTGGATCAAACTCTAGAAGTGCCCATTACATATCATTAAGAAAATGCTCAACATCAGCATCACAGTCTTAAATCCACTAAAACCTCCTTTCCACACAAGTCTAAACCTAGTTTTCTTAGTGTCTTCCTAGATGCTCCAAGTGAGTAAGTCTATTAGGGTGCTGTCTTTTGGGATGAGTGGGGAGTCATGCAGAGGATAGTCCTTTAGTAACAAGTAAAGTGTTTCTTCCTTAAAGGGCATGTCAATAAGATTGACTTAGCAAGGGCAGTGTGTCCCATTGCTGGTGCACTCAGGACCCGCAAGGCCTGCTGGCATGCCAAAGTTAGGGGGAAGAATTACACCCAGTTAGATGTGTTGAAAGGACAAGTTGGGCTGTTGTGATTCTTTTTTTCCCCCTGGCTTTTCTGCTGCCCTGTGTCATGGCGCTCCTATTTATCCTGGACTAGACTCAGTCTCTTGAGTCTCTTTGCAGTTGGTTCTGCAAAGGGGGTTTCCCCAACCTAGCTGGAGGGTGTGAAAAGCTTGGGCATCCTTCCTGGACTGAAGGAGGGCTAAAGAAGACTTGCCACTGGCCAGAGAGCAGAAAGAAAACTTCTTTCTGCACACTGAACACTTGAAGTTAATAAATCAACCTTGGAACCCTGAAAGAGAGCAGGCTGTAAGTGACTGGGTATACACAGACGACTAACCTTTGATCCCACTGATAACAATAGGACTTTCTCTCTTCACTCACTCTCTGAGTTGCTGATCCATCTACAAAAGGGGGGGGGAGGTTCAGATGGAAGCTGGGGTCCTTTGGCATTGCTGAAGAGCCCTACTTCAAAGAGCCCCTTTGCAGGATGAGCCAAAGGAAGGGAAGTTAGAGGGTTTGAAGGCACTCGGCAATCTCTCTCAATTAACTGTAGGGGCAGGGTAGAAGCCAGTGAGGGCCAGTTCTATCAGAGACATAGGATGGGGCAGAGAAGAGGGTGGCGGGGGGTGCTTTGCAAATGACAAAACGTCTAACTGATTGCTTTGAAATGAAAAGGAACACTGGGGCATAGGCAACATTTTTTTAAAAAAGAATTCTGGGAGCAAGAAAGTGGAAATGAGGAAGAGGGAGGGAAGCCACTGGAAATAGCAGGTAGGTTATACCTAAACAACAAAATACATTTTCTGGCAGTGAAAGAAGATGGCAATTAGGGGCCACTTGTTAAGGCAGTGATTTTGTAATGTTTGAGTGGCCATCTGCTGGTGCAAGGAATTAGGAGTTAGTTCAGTGAGATATCTCCGTTCGAAGGGGTTGTGCTTGAATACGGTGGACTGATGACTGGAATGCTTTGCATGATGAAGGGCCTTTTTCTTTCCCAACCCCTGATTTATTTGTTCAGGATCTCTTCCTGCCTTCATTGCAGGCAGAGAAGGCAGTGGCAGAGTTTGCACTCTGGGCAATCTCTGCAGACGGGTGGGGCAAAATCGGCATGGCGGTGGGCATAGGCTTCAGCAGAAGTTAGAACAGGGACTTTATGTTGAGGCATGGTGTGTTGTGGGGAAAGGGCAGGTGTCCAGTCAAGGAAATGAAAGCACAGGCATGCAATGGGAACATTGTGTAGCCTTTAGAATCATCTCACATGTGACATGGCAGGACGCCAAGATTCGCCACTAAGTATAGACTCAACAGGCTGTTGTAGCCAGTCTATGACCCTGATAAGTATGGCACGTGTGTGCAAACATGTGTTGATCTTACTATGATGTTACATTTTTAGGTGCACACCTTAAAATAAACACATATAGTGCTGCTGGAGAGGCAGCTCCTGTTGGAAGAAATTATGTCTCTCTTGTAGAGCAGTATGAACGTATTAAAGCCTACATGGTCAGTGTTACTGTCTTTAATAAGAAGTACCATCATACTGTGGTATTTGTGTGCCAGAGGTGAAGCGTTCTTATTTTACTGGGCCTGCTTCTGTCTGTGCCTCTGAACCTGATCCACAGAAATCTAATTCAGGAGAGCAGCCTCACCTGATAACAGAAAATAAGAAAAGCTGCCCTCTTGCATTTCTGTGGTGTGGGTCACATTATTGGAGGATGTGCTGAAGGAAAGTTGGGGAAAATTGGCAGCTTTATCCCCAGACTATCTTCTTCCTTTTCTTGCTTAATGAGAAGTAGAATTTAAAAGAGTCGTTTCCCTTGTGAATCTAATGTGTCTGTGCCTGTTAAGAGAACCTGGCATAATTTTCTCTGCATTGAGTTACCGGGAAACATAGAGGGCTCCTCTTTGCTTCTCGACATGAGACTGAGGTGGACTGTACCATGTCCAATAAGTGTCTTGGGCGTGTGGTGTTCCTGTCCTTTTTAGATCTCTGATGCATTGTTGAAAGTGATGCGAATGGCCCATGGCTGACCTGTGAATATACATGAGCCCCTCATGGCTGTGGTGTGCTTGCACATGTGCTGGCCAGGATGGGGGATGGAGTGGGAAATGCTTCCTGTGAAATACATTCACAGAGATTTCTATACTGAGCGATTGTTTGCTGGAGGAAGGAAAGGGATTAGTATAAGGAATTGTGGAGCACAGGAAAGGAGAGGGGAAGGCAGGATGGTCTTTGTGTTTCTCATTAGAAGTAGAGCAGCTGTTTGCTGTTAGCAGTGGAAGTGTGGACTTTTTCTGGGTACTAGTACAATTCTGGGCAGAGAACATCTAGCCCTAAAGGACACCTTTGGCTTCCTTGCCAGCTCTGCTGTTCATGCCAGAATCTCCATGAACCTCTGGCTTCTTGCCCAAACCAAGCCATCTGTCCAGCACCTATTTGTGCTTTGAAAACATATCTGTATGCACAGGTTGCCTCCAGATGTCTCACATACACCTCAAGCTCTGATGTTCTAATTCAGTACATCTAACTCCTGCATATCATGGGGCACTCAAGCTAATCTCTTCCCAAAACGTGATCTAGCCTTTCTGGCTAATATTCACATAACCAGGAGTCTCCTGTACTGGTTCAGTACTTTGAGGCTAAATGGGAAGTATAGGAAGAAGATTTTAGAAGACTAGGTGAGATGTGGTTGCCAAAGAACCTGGGCTTTGCTCTTCTTCCTTCTCCACTGTAGTCAGAGAACAGGTTGATCTTGGGGTTCCAGGTGGGTTGTAGAGGGAGTACGCATCCAGGTAATGCCTCTGATCCCTCCAGGTCTGAGGAGGGGTGCCTTCCACAGATGAGTTTTACACACACCTCCAGTTGTGTAGATGGAAATACTGAGCTTCCACCATCTCTTGTGGACGAAGCAAGTGTTAAAGCAATGGCATATACAGACTTCAGTTGTGTTGTTTCCACTTCATGGAAACTTGAAAGGCTAGCCACAAGACAGAAAGCAGGCTTTCTTGAGGATGGCCACATCTTTTTCAGCCCTTCCTTGCTCCCAAGAAGGAAGCTACAGTACCTTTAAAATATAAAGGGCATCCTGGGACTGGATCTCCTTATTTGCCTCCCTGTCTCATGGTTTTTATGGATTTTAGGTGTGTAATGGGATACATCTAGACTCCTGTGTCAGAAACAAGAGTCCGGGTCAACAGAACAGAAAGGGAGTGGGTGGGCCAGGGAGGTAACCTGTTGTGACTCCAGAGGAAAGATTCACAGAAAACAAGAGAAGTCATCAATTAAGAAAAGAAAGAGAACACATCAACTCAGTTCCAGGGTCTGCCTAAGACTTTTATTTGTTTTAAATAATGCAATCCGAATGTATGCAATCCAAAAATTGCAGCCTCTGCAGGATCATAGGTGTTTCCTCCTGGATTGTGTGACTGTGGATCAAGATATAGTGATGTTGCACGCTCGTGTGCTTGCACACATACACACACACACACCAGCCTTGCCCTGTGAACAGGATACTACCTGCCTTCCAGAACCTATGGTCAGGTTGGAGACTTTAGGTTTAGAATGGCATCCAGGTGCCTTGAAAGCCAACTGTTGTTCTTCAGGTCAGGATGAGCCCACCTCTCAGAGAGGTTTGCTTGCAGAAAAGAGGATGGAAGGGAGAAAGAATCTTCCAGTTGACCAGGCAGCTGGGGAAAAGCTTGGCTCCAAGGCAGCCGTGCAAAGAAGCGGGCAGGGGAAATATGCACGAGGTAGCTGCAGTGCAGGAATGGGTCTCTGGAGTGATTCTCCCTCCCTCTTTCCCTCCCTCCTTTTCCTGGAATGGGCACCTTGGCATCGCTTTTCAGCTTGTGCAGGCAGTGCCAAGGAAGGGGGCATCCTTTCTGCTGCCTTCCTCTTTTGGCTTCTTGAACAGCAGGCCTTAGAAGACCTAGGGTAGTTGTGCCCATGAAAGGGTTAATCACAGAGTTTTAAAGTAGCACAGCAGCCTCCTCCTCCTCCTCCTCCCTCTTCTCCCCCTTAATCCTTGAGCAGAGAGGGTGGAACGGAGTGGCAGGGGAGAGGCAGGGCTGGGCTGAGTTGGGCTCCTCTCCCCCCCCCCACCCCGCCCCCCCACTCCCCCCC